GGGAGGACACAAACTCCAGCCTCAGGTGCTGAAAGCTTTATTTAGGCTGTAGTTAATGCTCACACTCTGTGCTTTGCCAGAGGAAGTTGGGAGGGGGGATAGGATGTGGCAGCCCGTACCGAGTCACAGGAAGGAAGCTTGCTGCCAGAGCAGTGTATATTGTTTTTTTCCCAGTCTTTGGTGACTCCTGGAGCTCTCAGCCAGGTCTGGCCCCTCTGGTGTGTCTCTGGCAAGGCACACTTGTTCAAACACCACTTTTGCTGTTGTGGATGTTCTGCTGGGGCCGGAGAAAGGCAAACAGAGCTGGCCATGCTCTGTTTACCCAGAGCCCTGCTGGCCTGGCAGGCATTGTGCTGAGTGGAAACACTTGCAGCAGGCTCCTAAGGGGTTAAAATAAAGCGCATTGCTGCTGCCTGCACGGGCTGGTGTCAAGCGAGAGCAGAGCTGCTCTATAGGCAGACACTACGTCACGGAGTTATCTTTGTTTAGCTTGTCTGTGCTTTATCATGTTGCCCAACAGTTTTAATAAAAAAAAGAGAAGGAGGAGGAGGAGAAAAAGAAGAGAAAAAAAAAAAGCCTAGTATGAATAGTTGTAAGTAGAAGTATGTGAAAGCAGCAGATCTGGAGTGCCTTCCAGCAGCTGCTGGCTGAAACAAAGAGGAGCATTATGAGAGGCACAAGAAATGTGTTTGCTATCTCTGCTCTCACTTGCAGGGCAGACACAAGCCGTCACAGTAATGAATTTTGAAGCCTGGAGTTTGGACTTGGGGAATTTCTAAAACACAGTTGTTTTATCAGAGTGTGTTGCCTTGCCAGCTGTGTGATGGGAGTCTGGTTTCCATGGAGTGTGGTCAGCTGGGGGAGACAAATCGAGTCCCTAAAGCAGCACTTGGGGCCATAGTCTCCTCTGTGGTTTCTCTGCTTTAAATTCACATTTGGGAAGGAGGAAAGTAGTGGGGGAGGAATGTTATTTAAATGGAGAGCACTTTTAGCCCTAATCAAATGTGCAGGCCCCATGAGAACTCGGGGAGCTGTGCAAAACCAGTACAGGAATTTGCATTTTATTCCTATAAACAATGTAAAGAGAATTTTTTTTCTTCAATTTTCCCTGTTATCTGGATCTTTTTGGCATTGTTCTCCTGTCTGGTGTGGGCAGGAGGGGCTGTACAAACTGAACTGTCCTGTAAGAGACTCTCACTGCTCCCCCCTATTCAAAGTTTGGTTCATTTGATTAATTTTGGCCCAGTGGAGCTGGTCAGATCGTGGTATGTTTAGCTGAAGTCTTGGTGTTCCCTGCATAATCAGGAAAATGCATTACCAAATTGGATAGGCTTTCTTTAGAAGCCCTTCTTTTCTTTGTTAAACTTCTTAAAATAGGTTTCTTCCAGCATTCAATAGCATTTTAACCAGATTTTATACTCAGTCTGAATGTTAATATATAAATGCTCTTCTTAGCACACATAGAAAAAATGAGTATTTTAATTTTGAAACAAAAAAGTCCCAATTTTGGTAATTGTTATAGTATCAATGTCCTGTTTGGGGGAAAAGGGTAGGTTTCTGATTTACTGGATTGAAGAATGCCTAGAGATTTCTGGTGTTTTGTAACCACCCAAGTTAGCTTTACCTGGGAATTTCAACTGCCCAGGGCACTTGGGAGCTGCTCAGGAGTCGGTGGGAGTGAGGTGCCCACGTGGAATCTGTAATTGCTGTTGTGGAATTTTGTGTTGGAGTCGTCAGAAGTGATGGGAGATGGAAGAGTGATGGTGCATGGGTGGGAGGACACAAGCTCCAGCCTCAGGGGCTGAAAGCTTTATTTTTTGACATTGCTTTTAGGTTATTCCTTTTCAAAGGCACGAGTGAGGGAGATTCCTCACAGAGAGGAACTGCTGTGATGTGGTTTGCTATGAACGTTTAGAATGTGAACACTCTGTAGGTGGGGGTTTCTATTGGCAAAATACAAAGGAAAAATGCACAAATGTACTGATCTGAAAACAATTCCCCAAAGATTTTGTGTGGATAAAAGCTTTTTTCATGGCACTGGGGTGGTTGTGGGTGCTTGTCAATTAATGTTAGCTTGGAACAGGAGAGCTCTGGGTGTCTGTCCCAGAGCATTTAGCAGGGCACAGTTTTTGCTATTTAGAGCTGAGATGGAAAGTTCCTATTTAGATTTGGTGCCAGAGTCTTTAATAGAAATCATGGCTTGTGGTGTATTATAGGTCAGCGTATATTTGCTAGTTTATATTATGCTGACTAAATTGGCAGAATGCTTATTTTTACTGGTAAACATTCAGGAGGTTTTCTCCTCGCTCCTTCTTTTTCCAACAAAATGTTATTTGTCGTGTGTAGGAATTAAGGCAGCGTTTTATAAATCATCTGCCTCGGTGATGATGTGAAAATGTGTGGTGGCACACAAAGATTTCCATTGTCAGGTACCACAGGGCTCTAGATGGAGTTAACTTAGGCCTAATTTTAGGTCTGGAAATTATGGCTGTGTAAAAAACAAAATGCTTCTGGCAGTGTAGGAAAAATACAAATTCTAAACTCCAGCAAAAGCAGCTATTTCAGGGATATTACCAGAATAGGTAACCCTGGTTAATTTAGCTGCTCTCCAAGCCCCTGATGGAGCCCCAAAAGCACTTTTTTTACATCTTTAAATCCCTATGAGGTTTTAATAGGACCAGAGGATGTGCGTTCCAGTGAAGTGCAGTGCTGTGCTCCAGGCTATAGGAGTAGTGAGATATTTAATGGAAATGGGGAAAGCCTGGTCACGCTTTAACGCCTGCTTAGCACCGATCTGTCCTGTGCTCTGCACAGCCAACTGTGCCATCCCTGGAATTACTGACACAGCTCCCAAAGGCTTTTCTGGGAACTGAGAGATTTTATATAAAAACTCACCATCTACTCAGTCTGCCCCAGCTGGAAATTAGCATTTCTGTGATTCCTCTGCTGAAGAATTGTGCTCTTTTGTTCCTGGGTCCAAACATACGTTTAAAGTATAGAGAAAGACGTTTAGGGACATATTTAAAAGTTGAATCAGCAAGTTCCAGTTTCCCCCCTAATTTTTCCCTTGCATACTTACACCAGACAAGCTTGTTTTGGACAGCATTTTATAAAGGGAATCATCTGAGAATGATTCCGAATCATTCGAACGTTTATTCAGTTTTAGATCTGGAATATTTGGCATTAACGTGAACTGTAGCCCTGGAATTTATAACCACGACTGTAAGAAGAGGAACAAAGCTTTTATTTCTCTGTGAATAGTCATGGTTTGCAGAGTGAGGTAATCACAGCTCGGCGCTGGCATTGTAGCCTGCCAGGGGAGGAATCTGAGGGAAAAATCTGAGGGGAAATCTGAAAAAGCTGAGGGGGAATCTGAGTGAAAAATCTGAGGGGGAATCAGAGGGGGGATCCGAGTGGGAAAAGCTGAGAGGGGGAACCTGAGTGAAAAAGTAGAGGGGGAACCTGAGTGAAAAAGCTGAGGGGAATCTGAGAGAAAAAGCTGGGTGAAAAAGCTGAGGGGAATCTGAGAGAAAAAGCTGAGGGGGGAAACTGAAAAAGTTGAGGGGACACCTCAGTGGAAAAGCTGAGGGAAAAAGCTGAGGGGGAAACCTGAGTGAAAAAACTGAGAAGGGAATCTGAGGGGGGATCTGAGTGAAAAAGCTGCTGCAAAGATGGGTTAGTTCAGCCTTTGAGATCATCTGGGGTGAGCTACCCCTCTCCTGGTGCCTTTTCTCACTGCTTGTTCCAGCATAAAACGTGATTTGGGATGCCTTGTCCATCCTCCAACTGCGTCCCACGTGTGCAGTCTGGGGGGTGTTACTGGGGAATTTCGGGGGGTGTTACTGGGGAGTTTCAGGGGACGTTACTGTGGCATTTTGAGGGTTTGTCAGTGTTGTCCCCGTGGGGTGACCCCTGTCGTGTCTCCCCGGGCAGGTGAAGCGGCGCTGAGAGGGGAGCCCCGGATGCAGCCCCTGCAATCCCCCGCGCTCAGCAACCACCGCACGGGCCCGCCGCCCATCAGCCCCAGCAAGAGGAAGCTCAGCATGGACCAAGGGGACGAGGAGCTGGACTGTGAAAACGACCACGTCTCCAAAATGAGCCGCATGTTCAACCCGCATCTGTAAGTGCCTCGTGTCTGTCCCTGCACGGAGCTGAGCGCTGCCTGCTAAAATCGTGTCCTGGCTCCAACTTTGCGCTCGGTTTTCCCCCTTTGTTCCAGTTTGTGTGGGAGATCTGCACAAGAGCCGCCCGCGATTAGATGGGTTTTCATGTTTTCTTTTGTTTTTGTACAGCGTGAAGTAACAGGAATTAGCTCAGCCTGACTATTTATAGCAAGCCATACGTATTCACCTTGCGATTCCTGCAGCATTGTTCCCTCGTTCTTTGTAAGGCGCTCCTTTCACTTCCCCCCATTCTCAGGCTCTCTGGCTGGGGGTGGGGAGGCAGCAGCAGCAGCAGGAGGAACACGAGTGCTTTGCATTTTTCCGAGGCCAGCAGCTCCCAGCCAGCTGCTTCCTGGGCTGCCTTGACAACTGGGCAAGCTGCAGTTGTTGCTAAACATTCCTGCTCTGACAGTCAGGTGTGGAATGTGCCGGCCAGGTAAGGCGTTGATGAGCCGTGTTGGGCAATCAGCAGATGCCATTGCTGGGAATGCGAGCCTGGCTGGCACTGCTGCAGAATTCCTGGCATTCCTGCCTGGAGGAAGCCATGGATGGAGCTGCTGTGGCTGCTGCCTCAGCTCCTGCAGCCCCGGCATTCCGCGCATTCCACAGTCATGGGATGTGGACTGAGGGATTTATCCTGCCATAAATCACCGCAGCCTTACTCACAGGCTGGGCCCGCAGTCTGCAGCCTTGGAATTTGTTACAAATCGGGAATCCAGCGCTGAAGTAATGCAAAACAATGAAAGCTCGCTTCTTCTCATTTACAGCATACCTCCTCCTCTCCCCGAAAAATTAACTATTTATAGCCTTGCTCTGGGGCCAGGAGGGCTTGGAAAGAACCCTGTGCTGCATTTCTGGATGCATGACACAACTGAGGGGCTTTATGGCATTTTTGAAATGTTATGTAACTTTATGGGGGAAAAGTGTGATTTTTTTTTTAAAGGCTCATTTTCTACTGCTGAAATAAAACACAGCTGGCAGTTACGTACATTATAACACTTTATATAGCAGAGGCCATAAAAATAATGAAGTCTGAACCAACAGACTCATGTGCAACCAAGGCTCAGAACTAAAAGATGCAGGCAGTTCTTTCATGTGATCCCTTAGCTATATGTCACAGCTAATAGTTTCCAGTGTGGTACATTTTTATGGTTTTTTCAATAGATTCTTTCTGTGATTTTGTATATGAGACATTCATCTTTTCTTCTTGTAGTAAAAAACACAGGTTTTCTGCCCAGGGTTCATGTGACTTAATCTGTTTCAATTAAAGTATCTGCTGCAGATGAATTAGAATCTAAAATAGCATCCACGAGGCCATCTCTTTTTCTACTTTATTTTGTAAGTTTGATCTGGCCATACAAAAGTATGCTTTCAATAGGATATATGAAAACTCAAACATTTGTGATTCATCTGCAATAGCTGGATTTCTGTGTATTTCAGATATATCAGAAAAGTTCCCAAACATTCTCTGAATTTTGTTCTCATTTCCCTGTCACTGCCTCAAATGGTTTTTTTTTTTTTTTTTTTGGTTGTTTTTCATATTTTCTATCTTTTTCTGATTCTGATGTTCTGGTTTAACTGTAGAATTGGATTACTCAAGCCCTGTGGATCTGTGCAGAGAATTTTATTGGGAGATGGGAAGTATGTTGTGAGAGCTTGGTTTGTTCACACCCCAGAAAACATAATTAATTTGGGGAAAGGATTATTTTCTGGAGCATGATAATGGCAGCCGCTGGAGGTTCTGGAAGTGTAAGGTTGACAAAGTTCAGTTTAGAAATCCAAATGTGTGAGAGATGTGGAGTGTAGTGTGGAGATCAGGTGCCACGGTGTCTGTGGTGTCAGCAAAGACATTTCTGTGACTGGAACTGTAAATATTAGTTTGAGGCTGTGTGTTTTGAATTTTTCAGGGCCAAATGCCCTGAAAGCACAGGATGAAAGTGTTCCTGACACAAAACCTGGGTACAGCTGACAGAAGTCTTTATAACCTCCAGCAGCAGCTCTTGTTCAGGCATTTGGGTCTTTGTGATGGTGCTGGTAGAACTGGGAAGCAGTTGTGTATTCATTCTCTTAACACCAGTATCTTGTGGCTGGAAATGTAATTAAATAGGCCAAGAATTGTGTGTTTGGTTTGTTATAAATGGTGGAACCTTTTCTGTAGCAATTTGATCTTAACTCTGAGGTAGCAGCACCCCACTGTGCTCCAGCAGGAATGAATCCATTGAAAGGCTTTGGATGTGTTGTTAGAAATCCAGTTACGTCAGCCTTTTGTTGGGAAATGGAGTGCTTGGAGACATTCCCTGCTCAGGTGTAATTCCCTGAAGGATCATTTGTGAGCTGGACTCGGGTATGTTTACTTTTATTGTGGAAAAACACAACTATTGGAGTGCAGTCTCTGGAGCAGAGTGAATCAAATGCCCTGGCAAGCCTAGCAGGATCCTCAGATGTGTAATGGAATGAATGTGCAAAGAACACTTTATCAAATGTGCTTTTTCAAAGAAGAGAAGTCTCAGTGTGAGGATAATATACTTGAGAGCTTGTGGATTAATTAAAAAAAAACAAAAACCCACCATGTGACACTGCCTCCCTTTGATGTATTTTTATAGCTTCTGTTTTTGTTGTGAAAGAAGTTGTGAACACCCATAAACTCCTTGGCTGGGAAGAACAAGTGCTTTCTAATTAAAATATAGTGATAGGTAATATAGAATTCTCTTATTTTTCTGGTGTGTCCCTCAGGTGTTTAACTTGAAATGCACTCTCTGAAGTTAAGTCTTGCTATAGTAAAAGGTGCTTTTGGCTTCGTGGAGGAGAAGGGATCTTGTTTTGGGGTACGGCTCGACACATGGCTTTGTTTTCCCGTGAATTCACTAAAACCACCGTGGTTTACAGCAGAGCGATTGGGAAATGGGATTACACGGGAATTGTGTGCGGTGCAGGGGCGGCTGCCTCCGTCCTGACCGTCAGGGAGCGCTTGGGNTTTGTTCATAACAGCCACCACGGAATGTCCCTGTGAGCAGAACTGTCCCTGCTTGGCAGGCAGGGCAGCTGCAGGAGCCAGCCCGGAGCTGTCACTTCAGTCTCTGCATTTTGATTTTGCTTTGGCCGTGGCTGTTCTGGCACACAGATCTCTGCACTGTGGTAGCCAGAGCTCGCTTCCAGGAGTAAGTGCTGCTCATATGTTTTGCAAACGCAGGATAAGAGGCTTTTTGCCAATTTTTCTCCACATGTATATGTGACTTTTTGGTTTCCTAAATTAGCTTTTTGTTATCACAGCAGAAAGTCAGTAAAATATGTGGCAGAGAAAGGAATCAGTAGGTTGGCTGCTGTGAGAAATCTGTCAATTATAATAAAGAATATTTCCAAGATCTGATGTCTCAGCAGCATGTTTTAATCAGGCCGTTGCCATTAATACTTAATTTTTGTTGTTCTGTACTTTGCTGTTTTATTATGCTCTCCAGATAGGCCTGTTTAATGTACTCTAAAAGAAATACAGACTACTGTGGCTGTGTTTATAGTGGTTGATCTACTACTTCCCAGAATTAAATCTTATTTAAGCTCATCTTAAATCATAACTTCTGTAGAAGCAGCCCTGAAATGAAGCAGTGGTGCAGAACGCTGGGATAAAGGATTTTTGTTTGAGGAACTTGTGCTGCCTTCCCTGCGTGGTATTTGATAGCTCCAATCATGAGATTTTTATTTTCTGCATCAATTGGAATTTTTATGCCATTTATCCCAATTTANGGCCCTCTCTTCCCTCACTCCTGAGCTCCGGCCCTCTCTTCCCTCACTCCTGAGCTCCGGCCCTCTCTTCCCTCATTCCCGAGCTCCGGCCCTCTCTTCCCTCATTCCCGAGCTCCGGCCCTCTCTTCCCTCATTCCTGAGCTCCGGCCTTCTCTGCCTCATTCCTGAGCTCCTGCCCTCTCTTCCCTCACTCCTGAGCTCCGGCCTTCTCTGCCTCATTCCTGAGCTCCGGCCCTCTCTTCCCTCGTTCCTGAGCTCCGGCCCTCTCTTCCCTCATTCCTGAGCTCCGGCCCTCTCTTCCCTCACTCCTGAGCTCCGGCCCTCTCTCCCTCCTGCCCTCTCTCCCTCCTGCCCGAGCTCCCTTCTCTGGCCCCTTCCCTCTCTCCCTCATTCCCGAGTTCCGGCCTTCTCTCCTTCCTGCCCCAGCTCCCCCCTGTCGTCCTTTCCCTCCCTCCCAAGCTCCTGCCCTCCCTCCCTCCTTCCCTGGCTTCTTCTCGAGCTCCCTCCCTCTCGAGCTCCTTCCCGGGCCCCCTCCTTCCCTGGCTCCCTCCCTTTCTCCTTCCTTGTTTCTCTCCTGTTTCCCTCCTCTGTCTCCCTCCTGCTTTCCTCCCTCCCCTGTCTCACTCCTGTTCTTCTCTCTCCCCTTCTCCTTCCCTGTCTCACTCCTGCTCTCCTCCTTCCCCTTCTTCTTTCCTCTCCCTCCCTCCCCTTCTCCTTCCCTGTCTCATTCTCGCTCTCCTCCTTATCTTCTCCTTCCCTCTTCCCCTTCTCTCGTCCCTCCCTCTCTCCTTCCCTCCCTCTCTCCTTCCCTCCCTCTCTCCTTCCCTGGTTCCGTCCCGCTCCCCTCCCCGCTCTCCTGCTCCCCCTCTCCCTTTTCTTCCCTCCTCCCTCTCTCCCTCCTTCCCTGCCGGGCTCTGTTTCCCTCCCCGGTCCCTCCCCGGTGTCTCTCCTCCCCGTGCCGTCCCTCCCGTTCCGCAGCCCGGCACACAAAGGCCGCCTTGTCCCGGCCGCCCCGCCGCCCTAAGAGTCCCCAGCGCGGCCGGCGGGCACGGCGCTGCCCCTTCCAAAGAAATGCCCTTTGCAATTCAGCCGGGACCATTATTTCTGTTCCTTGTGCCGAGCACGTCAGCCTGCAAGCTGGCGTTTGGGGTTTGGGAATTTTCCCCTCGTTCCCCTTTGGTTTGGTGGCATTAGGATTGCGATGGGAATTCATTTCTGTGTAAAAATCTTCCTGTGGCTAAATGTTCACAGTTGTGAAGTCGAGGGAATAATTGTCTTTTGGTTTGTGTGATAAATAATTTGGCTTTTTCTTGTAATAAAAGGTCTGCACATGAATAAGTTACTGTAGTGTGTATCATGTAAAATGTGTAGTTTCAGACTCTCCAAATTCTGAGCTTAGTTTTGTTACACTGAAGAATGATGGTAATCCCACCCAAAACACTCCTGAAGTTTTTTACCAAGAATATCCAATGGCATTTGCTTACTTTAAAAACACTGTGATAGAAATTAGTGGGGAATCCTTTAAAAAAATTGTGCTGTCACCTTTATTTGAAGACTGGAATAATTCAGGTTGGAACAGACCATTTCATCCAACCTCCTGCTCACAGCAGGCTCAGCTGCATCTTCAGTGAGTTTAGAGTTGCTCAAGGGGAGAAATTTTGAGTAAGATTTGAAATATTGAGTAAATAAAGTTCCTCATCTCAGAGCACTTTTGTCACCTTCTTCCTTAGCTTGGCTGAGAGCACAGGTTGAAAATGTTCTGAGAAAATCAGGTCCCTGTTGTGGAGGAACGTGGCTCCAGCAGGGCTTGAAAAGATGCAGAGCTGGCTCCCAGAGGTAGCGTGGGAGTTGTCAGAGAAGCTCTTTGCTGCTCTTTGGGTTCCAAACTTCATGTGGTATTGAGAAATATGTTCCCACTGTCATTTATTGTGACAAATTGGAGTTGGGAAAAAACCCCAGTGCACAGCTGAGAACACCCAAAGTGTCTCTCATGTGCTCAGTGAGGCATCTTCACCCAGTCTCAGCACAGATGTGCCCCTGAAGGATTCTGGGGTTCACCTGGGGCTCTCAGAGCAGTCCTGTTGGAACTGAACTCCTCAGTGGAACTGAGCCCACGTGGGTCTTGTTGAGAAGTGGACAAAGAATCACACAGCAAATTTCAAACTGCTTTTCCTAATTTTTTTTTCCTTTACTTGTCTGCGTTGCTTGAGTGATGGAGTGAATCAGACATTTTCTTATTTATTAATGGAGATCACACGCTGCACATAATTAAATTATTTTCAAGGAATATATGTTGAATGGAACCTTCAGAGGGCAGACTTGAAAGAGCCACCATATGTGAGTTAATATTTAACCCAGAGTTGTGCAGTTCTTAGCCACAGGGGAATTTCAGAGAGCACTCCAGTCCCTTTCAGTTGAAGCACATGTGAAAGGTTTGTTAGGAACAGTTTCAGGGCTAAAAGCAATTGGATTGATAGCTTATCAGTACTTCACAAAAAGACCTATCTGTCAAAATTTGGGT